AACCTATGGATCTGGGAATTTTGGGGAAACAAAAAACTTTCCTTGCGGACAAAAACAATTTGGTGTTACACAAAATTTCATTATGTGAAAAAGAAAATGAAAAGTGTGACTAAAAGGTCCAAAGAAACGGGAAAATTCTCAAAATGAACTCACCCGAGTTCAAAAATGCGTTGAAAAAATTTGCAAAGCTCTCAGAGGAAGACAAAATTAGGCAGCTTGTTTACTCATGGGAAGTAGTGTCTGATGGCGACACGATGACCAGTGCCTTTAAACAGGCTGGTATAATATACTTGGTTCAACACCCATCAAAAGAAGAGTTGGAAAACATGAGACGTGTCAACCCCAACTTCAACACTGTAGACCTTCTTAAAGGTGTTGCAAAAGTTGACATGTCTTATGCCAGAGAGGTTTGCTCTTTTCTTGGTAAGGATCCAAAAAGAAAAGAAACCCAGACTGTTAGAGTCTACATTGAAAACTTTACTGATAGAGAGCACAGGCTCGATGTTGAAAAACTTATGAAAATCAAAAAGGATGAAAAGAACAAAATTTCAAATGAAAAGAAACCTCGAAAAGAAAAAAATAACTTGGTTTTATTTTTTTTATTTTTTTTTAATTAAATTTTCCATTTAATATTAACAAGTTTTATCGCAATAAAAATCTGTAAAATATAAATTTTTAAAGTTCTAATAATCAAAAAATGGAGAAGGGTATAAAAGAGAACTTGTAAAGTGTAAATTACAAAATATAACGTTTAATGCGAAGTTAAACAATATTTGTTTGTTTATTAGACAGCAACACAATGAAGAAAATGATATTAAAGTGACGACAAGGAAGAAGCCGATAACGAAGATAACAACATTCATTCTTGTTTTATTTATTTATTAAAAATATCATACTTAATGTTTATTTTTTTATTTTAAAACGAACGTATTTTTGGTTAAATGTCTTTATTATGTTGGTAATATCCAGTTTACTAACAAATAAATTCTGGAATAACTCAACTATTAACCGTAATATAAATAGACTTTAACTGCCTTCTTCTAAACACTTCGAAAAAATGCTTGGGCAAAATGAAAATGATGTTTTTTTTTCTTTTTGTTTAAATAAAAAAATAAAATCAAATAACATTTAGAAAACATTTTACCATTATTCACCAAAATTTATCAAAAGCGGTTTTTTTCCTGAAGCTGTTTTTTTCCACCCCTTTACATATAATCAAAAAATTGTTAATTTAAAAACTATGAAATTAATAAACAATAAAAACTCATATAATGAAAACCAACAAAAAACAAATAATGTAACATCATTAATTATTTATATCGGCCAATTTCATCCTAAATAGGCACACTTTGGTTGGGATTAATTAACTTTAATTCGATTTGTAACTTTTTGTCAATTTGTTATTTTTTAAAAAATAAAGATAAAAATAAAAACAAACCATGTAATAACATTAACACTTTAAAAAAGATACGGTATTTAATAAATATTCCATAATTCCACATTAGTATTTTTACAAACAAGTTGTTGTTTATTAACCTTAGGAAGTCACTCGTTTTTGCCAATTTTTTTTGCTGGAAAGGAAAAACTAGATATTTTCTATCCAGATCCTTTTGTAAAATAAAAAAAAACAAAATGAATAACAATAAATTCAAGCTATCTTTTTAAAGCATTCACCACATAAAACGCGATTGCAATCACCACATGACCAAGTGGGTAAGGTCGCACTACAAATGTCACAACAGGCAGTTGTTTTTCTTTGTTTGCAATCGTGACAATATCCAGATTTTTTCCCGCCAATGGTTTTTATGTATTTGTTTTGTCGATGTTCCGTAGAAATGTCAAAACCCATATTTTTCATTGCTTTTATTCGCTCCATTTGGGGAAGTCTTGGTTGTATCAATATGTTTGAGATAAAAAACGAGGATAATTGAAAACTAAGGTTGTGTATGAAAGTCCTCCTATTGTTATTACCCGTTGATTTCACCCACATCACAAAGGCATTGTTGACACATATATCCAAAAGAAAATAAAAGTAAGTAACACTCCATCTTCTCGAAGTTCTACGAGATGAATAAGAGGAACATATTTTGTCAACCATATCAACTCCACCTTTCAATTTGTTGTATTTTACAACAGTCTCTGGTGTTCCATCTTCTTCATCAAGTTTTGTTTTTGAATTCTCTGTTGATATTATACACACTCTTTGTTTCGTTTCAGTCTCCTTGTATCCCAACATCGACCACCCCAAGTTAATATGTTTGTATAAAATAGTTTTTAATTTGTTTTCTTCTGTGAATTTTTTACACACTTGAAACCTTATTTGTCTAACTGTGCCAATGTAATCACACTGTTTGTCCACCAGTTCTTTGATTAGATCAATAGTTCCAAAAAAGTTGTCACAACAGAGCACATGTTTTTGTCCAAACAAGTGATTCATTAGAAATATCACTGTGTTCTTTATCGGGTTTCCTTTGGATTTTTCTTTTCTTGGTTTTTTTGATATAGAGTTTAGTTCCAATAAATTCTGTTTTTTGACGTGGGTAACAGTAGTCTTCCTTTGTGTGTAAGAAATTGTGTTAATGAATTTGTTATTTTTTGGATTGAATTCTCCTCCACAATACAACTTTATCTTAGAAACATACAGCGATTCACAATCCACAACGGCATAAGTTTTCAATCCATTCCTTTCTGGCTTTGCTGGCATGTATACTTTGAAAGGACATTTTCCGTGAAAAGGGCACATCATTTCATCTATTACAACATTTTTACCTGGAGAATACACATTCTGAAAATTTATATTTAATTTGTCGTATAAGTCGGCTATAGCTTCTTCTTTTCGAAAAGAAGTACATTGTCTTTGATACCTATTAAGTTTGTTGTCAAAATGAATATTATATAAAAGAGATTTTAGACGATATAACGGAAAAATGGCGAGGTAAAAGGGTAAAGCTTCTTTTGAATACAATTCTTGAATTGGTTTTTTATTATCATTATTTACACCCTGTTTTATTGCCACACTAATAAAAGCTTTCATTTCGTTGACATTTGTGGGGTACCATTTTCTTGTTTTTTTCTGATTAGCATACAAATTTGTGTTTTCAGTGATTAACTCGAAGCATTCATCATTAAACAAAGACATAAAGCAGTCAAGTTCGGTGTTTATCATTGTTGTTGATTTCATGTTGCCACTTTTATCATGTATAAAATTTATAGAATCAACATCGTCTTCTGTAAACTTGACATTTTTCCAACATAATTGACAGTTTGGATTAACACAATTTTCATGTTTATCGACAACTTCTTCTTGATAATTTTCTTCGTAATTTTCGTCGCTTAAAACATTGTCACTATCACATCTTTCTGACTCCTCCATTTCTTCTTTTTCCATTTTGTTTTTTGTTGTTTTTTATTTTTATTTTTTTAATATATAAAAAAGCGATTTAAAAATAAATATTCAATCTTGATATAAAATATCGAGATTTCTCTTCCTAAGGTTAAAAAAATAATAAAAATTGTAACTCAAACTTTTCTTTAGAAATTATTGAAATGTTTTTACAACTCAAAAAACACAAAAATCAAAATGGCTTGTGTAGGGCTGCTGTTGTTTTTCTGTTGCTTTCAAAGCTATTCGTTGACGTGGTGTTCAAGTGAAAATGGAACTGTCCAGTGTTTTCAATCCCATCCTCTGACATGCCAAACACGTTTTGTTGATGACATTGGAGGCGTTCTAATTTTAAAGAATCGGCTGTCTTTTAGTGTTCAGTGTGACGTTGTCACAGAACTTCAAATTGATGTTGAACAACATGTCGAAGAAATCGTTTTTAAACTGAATAACACATTATTACAATTTCCAAAAATGAGCTTGAAATATGAAAACGTCACCGAAAAAACCGTTTTTGTTAATAAACTAATTTCCAATAGTACTAACAATAATATTTGTGGACCAACAACTGATTGTGAAATTTGTGTTCAAAATGTGTGTCAAAAGTGTTCACAAAATTATACTTTAACAACTCGGACAAATGGCGTTTTTTGTAAAAAATCAAACGCAAAATCATCATTTTTAATATGTGATGACAGAGCATTCACAAATGGGTTGACTTGTTGTCCATACGATTGTGTGAGTTATGACTGCCAGTATGACACAAATACTGGTGTATGCTATCAGTGTAATTCAGGCTTTTATCTCACTCCAATATATACCAAAGGTGTGATATGCACTGCGTGTTCCGCTTTAGATTCCAATTGTGTTTATTGTAGTGACGCAAATACGTGCACACAATGTAAATCTGGGTATTACCCATATGGTAGGTATTGTTACTCGTGTGGTAATATGTACCAGTGTGTGTCTTGTTATACTACATCAAGATATTGTACAAAGTGCTCTTATGGGTATTATCTTTATGCCGGAGAATGTCGTACATGTCCATCAACCTGCGCAAGTTGTTCAACTACTACTATATCCTGTACGTGTATAAGTGGGTACTATTACACTGGTGGCGTTTCTTGTGTGAAATATCCGGATCATTGTATAGCTGCTGTTGTATATAGTGGATGTACTGAATGTGAGGCTTCTTATTATTTATCATCCAACACATGTTATCAATGTAATTCCGATACATGCGTTGGTCAATGCGATAAAACTTCTGGTGCGTGCACCAACTGCATTTCAAATTATGTTATTGATCCTTCAAATGGGTTACGGTGTATTCCCTGCTCTTCAATTGATACCAATTGTCTCACTTGTAGCACCCCAATAGCAGCATGCTCAAAATGCATTTCAAAATATTATCCAAATCCATCAACTGGAAAGTGCCAACCGTGTTCCGGATGTGTGGATTGTGACACTTCATCTGGGATATGCACTGTGTGTAAGAGTGGAGAAACGCCACTCTCAACG